GAGTCAGGCTCTGTCACGGCCAGCGGCGGAGGCACACTGAAGGGCTTGAGTGTCCTCAAAAGCTCTTTTCTTTTCATTTTATTTGAAATTCAGCCATGAGAACTGCTCCTGTCTTGCTCATCTGTACACTGTGAGGGTGAGAAATGACCAGGCTGGGGTGCAGGACAGCTTGGAGTTGGAGAATCAGGACCATGGACCCAATGCCAGCTCAGCCAAGCTGCTGTGTGTCTTTGGGCAAGTGACATCCCCTCTCTGGGCTCCAGTTTGAGCTTTATGAAGACCATACCTTGCATCTCCTCATAGTGGGTCACCATCATGATTCTGGGCCAGGAGAGGACTGCATGTCCTTCACACCAGATGCTTCTAGGCTCCCGCAGCAAGATGTCAGCTCCAACTCTTGGATCAAATGGAACATTTGCTTCATGATCACTTCCAACAGCCCACCTCCCAGATCCCAGGTCCCAGGGTGGGAACAGAGAAGGGGTTTCTAACAGGCAGGGGCCTGAGCACCCAGGACACAGAGTTGCTTGGCCAGCAGAGCCCTGCAGCCGTGGTCAGAGAGCCAGCTGGGGGAGACGGTCAGGGTGGGGCCAGCTGTCGGGACGCAGGGCTGGGGCAGGGGGCAGTTCTGAGGAGACCCCTGGGCAGCCCAGATGCCAAGGGCAGAGGACGCCGGGAGGGCAGGGAACGAGGCAGGAGTGAGGGCGGGGGCGGGGCCGGTGCAGCCGCATCCTGGGGGAAGAGGCTCCAGCCCGACTGCCCGAGGCTGTGACCGAGGGGAGGTGGGGACGGGACCCTTGAGCCCAGCCCAGGGTGGGCTTTGGAGGCCCCTGCAGCTGGGGCGGAGAGTCTCAGGAGGCTGTGCCTCCCGGGGCAGGCAGTCGGCTGTGATGGCTTTGGTCTCTGCAGAGCTGAGGACCATGCACCAAAGAGGTCGGTGCTCCTCCGAGGCCAGGGCCTGCGGTGTAGGTGATGGCCCGGGGCTCTGCCTCGGCTGATGCCGTCAGCTGCTCTGTGTGGCACTGGGCGGGGACACAGGGCACCAGACAGGCACCTGCCGCTTAGGGCTGAGTCTCAGCAGCAAGGCGTCCCTGGACTCACCTGGCTGGTGGATGGGATTCGGGACTAAGGGCCAAAGAGTTGCTGACGTGAGGTCTCAGATGCGCAGCGCCCGCACGTCACCACTGAGTGGTCCCCAGACACGGTTCTGATGCCCTCCTCCCTGTCAAATCTGACTTCCAGACCACGTGACAGGTCCTGGGCCAAGACTCTCCTGGCCAGTGTCTCTGAGATTACGCCCCCCTCCCAAATCAGGGGTGGCACCGTCCCCCAACAGAAGGGCCTGAGCAGGGACAGGCAGGTGTCACCCTTCCCAGATGGGAACGGTCTCCTGCTCCTGCCTTAGCACGGGCTGTGAGGGCTCAGGGTGGAGGGTCCGCGCCTCTCCTACGGGTTCCGGGGAATGTTCCTTCGCGTGTGCGGAGACGCAGCGTAGGAAGGAGATTCCCGTGCAGCCTGGAGGGGGAGCTCAGTGGTCACCAGGAGACAGAAGAAAAGCTGCCTCAGCAGGAGGAGCGCTGCAAGGTCCCAAATCAGACCAGACACCGCGGGGGGTCAGCAGATGGCCGTCTGCAGAGTGAGTTAGGTTAAAACCAATTTCTATTAAGGCTTTGGCTAATTTGGTTGGCAATTTCTTTCAGCTTGAACGGGTGTGCAAGACCTAGAGGGCCTCCTGGCTGGAGGCCTGGAAGGACCCGGAAGTGATGTCCCTGCCCCCCGGTAGCCACGGGGCAGGACTCACAAGTCCCTGAGACAGTGTCTGTTCCCATCCTCTGGTCCTGATTGAAGGCCTGAGAACCTGCTGTGGACAGGCCCATGGAGTATGGACCCTCTGGTCCTTGGCCTCCCTCAGGGGGAGGCTCCTACTCAATGTGCGTGAGCAGAGGCTCACAGAGGGTCAGTGACTTGCCACCAGCCACACGGTTTCAGCATCTGTCCCCAATGCTGGGTCCACATCCAAATCCTGACACTTGTCAATGGGACCTTACTTGGTGTCTGCAGAGGTGATTCAGATATCAAGATAGGATCACCCTGGACTGAAGGTGGACGCCCATCCAATGACTCGGGTCACAAGAGGAAGGAGAGATGCTGCAAGACCAGGAGGCGCGAGGGGCTGGGGGAGCCCGGGGAAGACAGGCAGAGGCCAGGCAGGGAGGAAAAGGACCTCCTCGGAGCCCGGGGCCAGCGGCACTCCACATCATGGCCATGCCGGCTCAGCACGCCTCTGCCAGTGACCGGGCAAGAGGAGGAGAGCAGGGGCAGGGCCTCACGTCCCAGGGTCCCTCAGAGCTCCCGGCTGTGACCCAGGCTGTCCGGAAAGACATGAGCCCTGACTCCAGCACCTCGGCCTGCGCTGGGGCTCTGGTGCCCTTCTGCCCACTCCAGGTCCAGCCCGACCAGGCAGGCCGTGGCAGCCCCTTCCATTCTGTGAGGGCAGCACCAGCATCCCCAAAGGGACAGGGGCCTCTGAGGGTGACATTGCACTACCAGGGTACACAGAGCCCAGGCCGTGGGCCCAGCCCCCACTATTGGTGCCCCCTCAAGCTGCCCCACTGCCCCTGTTTCTGTGGGTTCTAGGCCAGGGTCCCCGGGGGGCCTGCAGGCTGCCACCCACTCTCAAGCCAGGCCCAGGCCCTTCCAGGAAGTCTTCCCTGTCCCAGGCGCCCTGTACCCAGCTCCCAGCCCCAGGCCCCGCCGAGAGCCCCCCTCCCTCCCTGTGCACCTTCCTCCGCCAACGTCAGGGACCTCCTATTCCTCGGGACCCAGCAGTGCACCAGGAGCTGGCCTGGAGAGCGCCCCGGGTGGATGTGGCCAGGGCGAGGCACAAAGCGAATGTCCTCCACGAGATCGAGGACACCATGGGATGTGCACCCTCCTGAGCTCGGGCCAGTGACCACACCAGGCCTGGTCCTCCCGACTGGGGACAGTCAGGGCTGGCGGGGCCCCTCACCGTGCTGGGGGGCCGAGACCCTACGCCTTCTGGGTGCCTCCTGCGCAGTCTGCGGTGCCTGACCGGGAGCTGAGAACCAGCAGCCACTCGGGTCATCTGACTCATCCAAGTGCTGTTAGCTGCTAATTATAATGAAATCTTTGATGAGCTGTTTCTTATCTCCTTAATTAAAATAATTATGATTAATGGAGTGGATGGCACTCACTCGGACGGTCTGGGAATGCGCTGTGGTGGCCAGACTGGGTTCCCAAGAGCTGGGCCCACTGTCATGGCTACAGGGAGTTTCGGGTCACCCGCAGGCACTCGGAGCTGGTCCACGGCCCTGAGGAAGGGAGGGGTGGAGGAGACTGCCTGGGGCCTACAGGGATCATCTGCTCAGCAGCCTGGGGCTTCAGACCAGGGCTCTGATCCAGACAGGAAGTGTGAGGAGGGGCTCTGGCAGGGGACAGTAGAGGACACCCACCTCTGCCTCGGGCGCGTGGCTGTGCCCCTGGGCCTTGCACATGTGGGTCTCAGCCCTTAGTGACTGGACACATGTGACCACACAGTGCTCCCAGTTTGCAAAGCCCTGGCTGAAACGTGTCTTTACAAGGTCCTCCTCCTGCGGCAGGGCCACTGTCCCTTCCCACAGTGCTGGGCTGCTGCTTAGGGTGGCCAGTCCTGGAGGTGGGGCTGGCTCCCCAGGGGCCATGAGCT